CAAGGGGTGTGGGTGTCTCTCTCACATCGATGCTTCTCTCTCTCTCTCTCTCTCTCCCTCTCTCTTTCTCCCTCCCTCTCTCCCCTCCACTCTCTCTAAAAAACAAAACAAAAGACAATCAACGGAAAACTGTCCCCGGGTGAAGGTTATCATGCAGAAACGTGCCCTGCGATGTGGTCACCCCAACAGACGGGACTTGGGGGGCTGCTCGGGGGCCGCTGTGCTGTCCCAGGACCTGGCCACTTCCGGAGCCCGCAGCTCGCTCCCTGCAAAGGTGGCGGCTGAGCCCCAAAGACGGGGTCCCCCCAGCCTCTCCTTCCGGCTTCCCAGGGAGACGGCCGCGGAGCCCAGGACACCCGAGCCCCTGCGGGCCCCCGCAACCTGAGGAGCAGCGCTTCCCGGAGACGGCACAGGGCGAAACGCTCGTTACAAAACGGACTCCCCGCGGGAGGCGCGGCGTCCGCTTCCCCAAACAAAACCGCGCTCTGCTGAGTCCTGTCTGGGCCAAACGCCTCTCTGTCCAGGAAGGAACACAAAGCCGTCCGCTCGAGGCCCCCGCCGGCTCGTCGCCGAGGCCGTTTCACCCACAGAAGCTGCTCTGAACCCCGGGCGGCTTCCACCCAGCCCTGGCCGGTGTGGCTCAGTGGATAGAGCGCCGGCCTGGGGACGGAAGGGTCCCGGGTTCGATTCCCCGTCAGGGCACAGGCCCGGGATGTGGCTCTATCCCCAGCGGGGGGCGTGCAGGAGGCGGCCGATCCACGATGCTCTCATCATCGATGTTTCTCTCTCCCTCCCCCTTCCTCTCTGAAATCAGTACAAATATATTAAGAAAACCAAACAAATGCGGCCACTGACCTTCGGGGCCGCACTGGGCGGGGTTGCTGACGCAGGAGGCCTTGTAGCGCCCGTAGAGGAGCAGCGTGACGCCCTTCTGCTCCCGGAGGTAGATGCCCTTGCCCGCCTTGCCCTCCACGAGGTCTGGGGAGAAGGGCACGGGCCGTGAGCGGCTCCTGAGGCCGGGAGTCCAGAGGCGCTTCCCACTGGCAACCCACCTACACGCTCGGCACCGTTCGTGTTAATAAGGGAACCAGAGGCCCGGAGCACGGATTCGTGCACCCGTGGGGTCCCTCGGCCTGGCCTGCGTTCTCCACCCCTCGTGCCTCACTCCCATTTCCTGCAGGAGGATGCTTTGCCATCCTGGAGCCGTCAAGCACAGCTTTGCTTTGGCAGCATCGTCGCGCACACACACTGGTTGGAGAGGGGACGTGTTTAGGCCAGGCCGAGGGACCCACCGGTGCACGAATCCACACACCAGCCTGTAGTTTGCATATAGGATCTTTGGTTAATCTCTTCTCGCCCTCCCGCCCCACCCCCTCTGAGATTCACCAGTCTGTTCCATGTTTCCATGCCTGTGCATTGAGCGTCTGCCCCCTGGTGGTCAGTGCTCGTCATAGCTACTGGTTGAATAGTTGTTTAGGCTTTTATATATCTAGATGTCTCTACTAGTACGTATTGCTATGGGATATTCATATCAGCCTTAATTCATATTTCAGCATTAATCATGACATTATCAATGGCCTATAAGCTGATGTGAATAGTAAATAATAAAATTAATATCCATTGCCCGGCCGGCGTGGTTCAGTGGTTGAGTGTCAACCTATGAACCAGGGGGTCACGGTTCCATTCTGGGTCAGGGCACAGGCCGAGTTACAGGCTCGATCCCCAGTAGGGGCTGTGCAGGAGGCAGCCGATCCATGATTCTCTTATCATGGATGTTTCTCTCTCTCTCCTTCTCCCTTCCTCTCTGAAATCAATGAGAATATATTTTAAAACACACACACACACACACACACAAAACAAAAAACAATGACAACAGCTAACACAGCAATAGCCGTCTGGTGTGAATGAATCTATCTATCTATATATATATTTTCAGATCTGCAAAAAAATCTATTTTGGGGTGTTTCGCAGAATTTTCATAATTAGCCCATGAGTGCTGTGCGATGGAGAAGGTTGCGCATCGCTGGCTGACGGAGTTGATAAGTGAGGGCTGTAAAAGCCGGAGCAATCAGGCATTTGCAATTCACGGGGTCAAAGTCGCCTCGACGCCTCCCCTGCACTCGGCCATGTGCCTGAGGGGTCGCCGAATGCGGCTGCGGGAAGCCCTCAGCCGGACTGGCCGGGGGCCAGGTTGATGCTGGAAGCCAAACACCTCCCAGCTGGGCGAGCACTGGTCACGTGGTAAAAAGAGATCAGCCCGGCCGGGGTGGCTCAGGGTGGAGCGTCGGCCTGCGGACGGAAGGGTCCCGGGTTCGATTCCCGGTCAGGGCACCTGCCCGGGTTGTGGGCTCAATCCCCAGTGTGGGGCATGCAGGAGGCATGCATGACTCTCTCTCATCAGTGATGTTTCTATCTCTCCCTCTCCCTTCCTCTCTGAGATCAATAAAAAGGAGGGGAAAACAGACCGTAAGTCTTTTCTTTAAAAAAAGAAAAAAGTGTGTGGGGGGGATCAGAGTGCGGCCCCAGGTTACGGGGCCTACGTCCAGCAGATTGGCCGTCACCCCCTCGCTCTGCGCTGCGTAGGGACGCCTGGAGCGTGGGAGTTATTAGAGAAGGTGATTTCTCCGTGACCGCAGCGGGTGTGTGTTTTATAACACGGTTTCTAATGATTTAAAAAATTCCAGTAACAGATAAGATAACCGTTTCCCCGTGACACGGGCGGGTGTGCGCCGCATAAAACAGCTTCTAACGATTTAACAAAGAATCCAGCGGAGAAAAGCGATGTTTAATGCTGGCGAGAGGCCCCGTGTTTTCCGGGCCTTTAACATCCTCCCCCAGAGCACAGCCCGCGAAGAATCCAAACAGTCTCTATTTTTAGAGCCTCCGTCCTGGGTCTGTTTTGTGCTGAGAAGGAGCAGACGGTTCGGAGAGCCTGGCCCTGCGGGCGGGTGTGGCTCGGGGGCTCAGCCCGGCCTGTGAACCAGGGGGTCACGGGGGTTCGATTCCGTCAGGGCACGTGCCCGGGTCGCGAGCCCATCCCCAGTGCGGGGGCGGGGGGCGTGCAGGAGGCAGCCGGTCCACAATGCGCGGACGGGACGGCGCGCGTGCTCACCTATGGTCGCAGAGGCATTGGAGTAGGCAGAGTCATTGGTGGGCACAAAGGTAGCGTTATGGGAAGGGGGCACGGTGAGGTTGCGGGCTCGCCATGCTGGGTGGGCAACAAAAGGAAGAAAGCACAACAGATGAGTGACACGCAACACAGAGCCACGGGCACATCTCTCAGCGGCTCCGCGTCCGGGCGGGGCGCTCCTCTAACCGCGGGCGCCCTCTTGGACCACCCCCCCCACCACACTGTGTAGCCACAGGACTGCTCACGACGGGCCCGGAGCGCCATGGCCACGGATGAGGCCACGGGATGAGGCCACGGAACCTGGCCACACACTTTGGCCCAGTGAGCGGGCTCCGCGCCCACCTGGACATCCCGTTGAGAGAGATGGCCTTGAGCTCGCCACGGGAGGATGGACGGTGGTGATGGCACAGGACGGATGGGACAGACACACGGCATGGAGACAGGGACATGATATGAAGACACGTGCACACACGACAGAGGAGCCAGCCACGGAGACCAACGCTGCCCGTCCACGGAGATTTCCCCCCACAGCTGGGCTGTCCCGGCTCGCTCTGTGGGGTTTCCTCAGCCGATGGGAAGGGGCCCGCACCGCCTGTTGCCATAAGCCACGGGCTCGGCACGGCCTGCAGGGAGCCCGTCATCGCCCGCGTGGCTCGGGGCGAACGTCTACACGGAGACGTTATGGGGATGGAGGCGCCGGGAGCCACGGTCACAGACTGAGTGTGTCTGAGGGATGACGTCCTCTCACAAGAAGGGTTTTCATGGATGAGAGTTTTCCAAACACCGAAAGGGGCTAATTGAGCCCGGCCAGCATGGCTCAGTGGTGAGCATCGACCTAAGAACCCGGAGCTCACGGTTCGATTCCCGGTTCGATTCCCGGTCGGGGCCCAGGCCCGGGTTGCGGGCTCCATCCCCAGTGGGGTCCGTGCAGGAGGCAGCCGGTCCATGGTTCTCTCTCACCATTGATGTTCCTCTCTCTCCCTCTCCCTCCCTCTCTGACACCAATAAAAACATTTTAAAAAATAGAATAAAAGTTCTGATTAGAAAAGAAAGCGCTCAGGAATGTCGGGGCGTCTCTGGATTGAGCCAGAAGGAGATGCTTTCCGTGAAGGTGGGTGCGTCCGGGAGGGACGGGCGGGTGGGGGTGCACGTCGGCCTTTGAACCGGGAGGTCGCAGTTTGCTTTCCACGGGGGAGGTGCCCTGATTGGCAGGCGGGGACCAGCTGATTGGCAGGCGGGGGCACCTTTGCTGAGTG